AGTTTCAATATTTGATTTTATTTAACTTAATTTAATTTGAAATCCTATTCTATTTTTATCTAAAAATAGATTTTTTTATTGGATTTTATCAATTTTCTGTTGATTCAATTCCACTTCCTTATTATTTCGATTTCATTTTATGATTTTTTTACGTGGCTTACAATATTGCCTTATCTTCTTTTTAGTTTTTGATTTTTAACTTTTTTCCTTATTTAGTGACTTACAAAACCATCAACCTACGGGTTAACCCATAACCCATTAAGGTTGGGTTAGGGTTGGTCTTTCTCAACCCGTGATCTGTTGGCGACCCAACCCGTATAACCCGTCACCGGAGCTGACCCAACCCGCCCGTTTGCTAAGTCTAGTTAATAGCAGGTACGAGGGTTCCCACAAGGATTTTAGATAGAGAATCAAAAATAATCTTCGTTCCAATGTCTACGAGAAATAATAAGTCCTCACGAGTGTTTAGAGTCCTCATCACATAAAACTATCACTTATTCTGCTGCTTGTTAATTAAAATTTCCATTGCTTGTTAATAAAAATTAAGTTCTACATGGGTCTGCTTTAGATTCCACTGGTTTTCATATTTATCAAATAAAATTAAGGTTAAAGTACCATTTTGTCCCTCAACTTTTCACTTTGGCACCAAAATTGTCCCTCGACTTTAAAAAGTACCAAAATTATCCTTAAACTTTCATTTTCGATACCAAAATGGTCCTTCCGTCAGTTAAATTACTGGTGGCACGTTAAAATGCCACAAAATCAATTCTTTTTTTGCTTGACTAATGACATGGAAAAAAAAAACACAGTTGACCATCTTTTTTTATGAGGTGGCATTTTTATTTAATTTAAAATTTTTGATATCCTTTTTTTTTATCCACGTCATCTCTTCTTCATCTTTCACTTTCTCTCTCCTTTACCTTTCCTTTTCCCTTACCTCTACAAAACCCAGATCTGGGTTCTCTCTCAAACTTCATCTTCTTCCTCCTTTCCTTCTACCTTTCCCTACTCATCATTCTTCTTTCTTCTTCTTATTCTTTCTCTCTCTCTCTTCTCCCTTCTTCTTCCTCCTCTCTCAAACCTAGATCTGGGTTTTAGAAAAGCTGCTCCCTTCTTCGGCTTGCTTTTCAAAACGACACCAAAGTCTTCACCTGGCGATGCTTGCTTTCCGTCAGATCAAACTCCAATAAATAATCCATAAAATGCATCAACCTGCTCTGTGTAATCAAGCCTGGACTCTTCCCTATCAGAACCCGGTTCTTCTTCGGCAATGACTCCAGCCCCATTAGCCGCGCCACCACTCTTGGATCAGCACTAACACTAGCCGCAACTTAGAGTTGGATCTTACCCTCATCAACAAACTTGGTTGCCTCGTCCAACTCAAACAAACTTGGTTACCCTCCTCCACCACCCCTAATTCCCGTCCCTTACCTGTCTGTGAAGACTGCTGGTTTGAAGAGGCCACGTCCACCCTCGTCAATGCTTGGGGCCGCCTGGGTTTGGCGTCGATGGACGATGGGTATTTTAGAAGAAATTATTCGCCCTTGCTGCAGCTGTAGCAGTAGTAGAGAGTGAAGATGAGGAAGTAGGTGAAAGCGAGGGAGACGAAAGTGATCAAGGCAAAGGGAAGAGAAGGAGGGTATAGATCTGGTTTCGATCTTTTGCTTATTTTGTGTTTTCTATGTGTATTTTCTGAGTTGATTCGATGGTTTTCGTGTTGATTATTTTCGAGATTAGATCTGCAGTTGGCTTGTATGTGATTTGGCTCGAATCACTTTTTTTTTAGAAATTCTTTACTCTTTTTAATCTATGTTCCTTTTTATTAGTTGGGTTAGGAGATCTCGGCTTTGCTGTTTAGTATATTTGAGATTAGTTTCCATGTTATATGATGAAACCCAGATTTGGGTTTGAAAGAGGAAGAAGAAGGGAAAAGAGAAAGAGAGAGAAAGAATAAGAAAAAGAAGGAAGAAGGATGAGTAGGGAAAGGAAAGGAGGAAGAAGATGAAGTTTGAGAGAGAACCCAGATCTGGGTTTTGTAGAGATAAGGGAAAAGGAAAGGTAAAGGAGAGAGAAAGCGAAAGAGGAAAAGAGATGACGTGGATAAAAAGAAAAGGATATCAAAAAATTTAAATTAAATAAAAATGCCACCTCATAAAAAAGATGGCCAATTGTGTTTTTCTTTTTTTCCATGTCATTAGTCAAGCAAAAAAAGAACTGATTTTGTGGCATTTTAACGTGCCACCTGTCATTTAACTGACGGAAGGACCATTTTGATATCGAAAATGAAAGTTTAAGGATAATTTTGGTACTTTTTCAAGTTGAGGGACAATTTTGGTGCCAAAGTGAAAAGTTGAGGGACCAGAATGGTGCTTTAACCTAAGACTAACTCAATCGTATAAAGTAAAAATTTGAAACAAGACAAACAAGTAGTAAATATACACAACCAACATATACATGTTAAGCAAGTCCAGCAAATTAGTAACAAGTTCATAAAGAAAAATGACATAAACTACCATATAAGTTCAGTAGATCTAGCAAAAGGTTCATAAAAAAAAAAGGGCATAAACTGCAATTGTCATACACGTCTAGTTATTAAGTCATTTGCCAATGTTTAGAATCGATGGGGGTAGGCTCTTGTGAAGACATTTTCTAATTAATACCTAAGAATGAATCAAATTAGAAATTATTAGTTATTAAGTCAATGGCTTGTGTATTAATTGACTAAAAACAAATTGTTTAATAGAAAAACTACAGCTTCAAATTTATTGAAGTACTCTAAATCATAAGCACTAAAGCACAGAGAAGAAAAATAGGTGTGCTATGAGTGTGAGGTGAGGAGGACCTGCTAACCTGGAGTTGGAGAGCTTGAAGAGAATTAGAGACAGAGCCACAAAGGAGGAATTTGTGAGCTACGATTTAGAGGACCTGCTGTCATGTGAGGTAAGGAAGACGACCTAGAGTTAGAGCCTTGGAGCTAGAGGTGAGCTGTGAGTGGAGGCAACTTAGGCAAGCAATCAACCATTGTTGTTTTCAATGGTAATAACAAGGGATCTCAAGAATGAGATGAGCTACCGGCGGCTGGTTAAGAGATTTGAGAAAAGCTGTCGAGTGTGAGTGAGAGATGGGAGAAGATCAGCGTTGCACAATGGGTAGTGACAATGAGAGGTTGAAGGGAATCACATATAAGGATTGAGGAATAGAAACAGAGTTACAGCGCAAAAGAGAGGAGGAATCTGAAATCTGAAAACTTTTGATAGTCCTACTAGGGTTAGCAATGCAAATTGGGTTGGGCAATTAGGTTTGGGAAGACAAGATTGACAAAAGAAATGGGCTGGACTACATAATCAGGTTTGGGAAAACTGAAAAAAGAATGGGTTGTGAAATTTAGGTTGTATTGGTATTGGGTTAGCTACTTAGATTGGATAAGTAAAAATTAATTGTTAATATATTTACAAAAATATATATATAAATAAATATATATTTT